CCCTCCCTGCAGGATCTAAGCCTGTTAGATTTCGTTTCGTGTCCTGAAATTTTTCCCTTCGAACTCAGCCCCAGTGCTTGCGTCCTCAACCGCGGTCAAAGAAGCACGTCCTGCGCCCTCACATCTCATTAGTAAATCAACCTATGTATCAAAAATTATTCACCTAAAGGAGGGATTCTTAAGTTAATTAACTTGAATAAATCATAATTATTCTTATTTTTAAGGACTGACGGTCAGTATTCATTGTATTCCTCAGTATGCGACCATTTTGATATCGTCAGTTGTAAATTCGCAGGTGTGAGCCTTACTAAAATCTAATTTTGTTTATACCTTTTATTGGCATGTTTAGACCAACAGGGACAGCTGACAGTTTCACAATCAACTTCTTTGAAAGCACGAAAGATGAATTTTCATAATAATGGGGAGGTTGGTGATAAATTTTACACTGATCGTTGAGTTACTAATTCATGTAGTTGTAGAGAAAACTTACCATCTCTCTTAGTCAATTTACAATCATGTAGTTATGTTGTGGTTATGTTATAATCGTTTTACGGCTTTTGAAATCAATGTTCTCTTCTTTCTTCGCTATTAGTCTTCTATCCTGCTTATAAATTCGACTTGCAAGCCAGTGGCACTGACTCTACAACTAATAGACATGTACAAGCAGCTTGACAAGGGAAAGAGTTGGACTCTCGAACTGCCATTATCTTGGTAAGTTAAGACTCAAGAGTGTTTTAATTAATCCTTAAAGTTATTCCTCTGAAAATAAAAACCTGCAACTTTCACGAGTGAAAGTGTAAAAAATTTTACCTAAAATGAAGATGTTGAGTTCAAACTCTGTTAGATACCATCTCCTCACTAAACGAGCACGAGGGCTGCACTGGTAAATAAGGGCCCGAGAGGGGTCGTGGCCGAGTGCGGACTGAGCACCGCGAGGTTCGTTAATATATGGCCAAGGGCCAATATTCTACATTACGGCTCTAGCATAATAAGATGTTAAGTAATATCATCCCAAATGTTACGGAGAAAAAACCCCAGAAAATTTGAACGTAAGCAAACTATTCTTTTCCAAATAGTTCAGGAGCAACGAGTCTGAATTACCGGGGAAAGTGCTCAGTTAAAATATACCACGTCTGTCGCGAAGTCAAATCTCAAGTGGATAAAAAAGTGTTTGACTTGAAGGATGGTGAAATCGACGAATGTGAACACGCCAAGACCATGCTGGGTAAATTTGCCGTGAGTAGTTTTGCTGCATCTTTTGGAGTCAACGATGACTGGTCTGCGGCTCTGGCTCTCACCACAATAATAGAGTTGGTTTTGATCTTAACAACTCTCGTCATCAAGGTATCATAATAATCGATTATTGTGTGTTGTCTCTTGCAAAGATAAAAAAAATTCAGTACTTGTCTCTTGCCAGAATGAAGGGAAAAATGCTAAAACAACAATGTTCCTGATGATTGTACAAAATTCTTTTCAGGTCATTGTCGTTGGGCTTCAAAAAGGCTGGGACTCATCAAGAGAGGAATTTTTTTATCGCTTTTACAAAGCCGTGAGAATAACTCACAGTGATTCAACGTACAAGATCAAGGAAGGTAGATCACGTAAATGTTGCTTAACAGAAAAGAAAATACATTCGATAAAATTCCATGTAACTGCGATACAAGGGAGAAGGAGGTCTTTGACTGTCGTCTTTCTAGTGTTTTGGGGCACGTCAAGTTGCTGTATTTTTTTCGGCATCAAGCCTCAATTTTCTCCAGCGATGTCAAATACGTCCTAATGACCCCCTCCCTCCCTCCCCCATTCCCTCCCACGCGCACAGTTTTGTAATTGTGACACACTTACACAGGTTACCATTCACCAGTTACTGATTACATTAACTTCCATTCTCTTTCCCGAAACCACTCCTATCGTTATACGCTAAGAAAGTGAGGTGTCTTAGGAGGAGAACTGTCTCCATTTCGGTTTTAAATTTCATGTAACGACATAAAACAATCTTTATGAAAGACATTAGAAGGCGAAATTTCAGTCGGGAAAGCCAAGCAATTTAGAAATCGGTTAGGAAAGAAGATTTATGTTTTAACTAAAAATATGCTTGTTTCATGTGAAGTTTTTAAATTTGTATCCTTATTAGAACAATACTGTGAAAACTTTGTGACAGCAGTAACATGTCTCTGCATCCATTTCTAACAGATAAGTGATCCATCCCTCCTTGAAATCGCTTGACTGATGGCCAAACTGATAGGCTGGAGAAGGAATGATAAAATTGTTTTGTACTCAATTAATAAAGTTTCCTCATTTTAAACAAACGTCGTGTTTAAACTTTCATGTTGGGCGAAATTCTAATTACTTACTAACGGATCAGTCTGAGATACCCACGGAGTCCGGTCGTTTCGATACAAACTCGTTTCGATAAAAACTGAAGTCGATTTAATAAATCGAAAAGTCGATTTGATACACGTACAAAGTCCTTTCGATACAAGTTCTGTGTTTTCGATAAAAACTAGTGAAGGATAAATTAGCATGTTTCCAACTGTCCAGGAGTCCGAAAAAAGGAGTTTAAGGACCTTCAAGAGGTATTGAATCGACGTTGTCGATGTATCGGATCGACTTTTGTTTGTATCGAACCGACTTGTATCGATGATGACAATGTTTTTCAATGTAAAGAAAGTAGCAATTCTGCCAAGTCATTTCAATACCTGATGGACCCATGAAGTACCAATTGACACTATGAGCTCACCGACTTCGCCATCATTCGAGATTTAATATGAACAACTGATTTTTTCAGCCAGTTGTGGGTTTATAAGGTACTTCATGGTTTTTTTTTTTAGCTGCGTAACCTGACGTACTCAAGTCGACCTCCTTGATCAGGCCGATTCCACAGATTCTTCATCATGTTCAAAATATCCGTCATTTTGCCGTTCTTGTAGTCTCTCACATAGTCGATAGATTCAATCTTCGATGCTTGTGGAGTATTCACTTTGACGTAATACAGGAATGTCTGAAGCGACCAATCCGGATTCACGTCAAGGACTTGAGCCTTTGTAACCGCGCCAGAGTACATAACCGGGACACTTGGCCCAGTGACCTCGAAAACCTCTACCAATATTCCAGGGCGAAATCCATGGTTACGAAGTGATTTCTTGAAAGCTGAGCATTCCTTGTACATATCTTTGACTCCTAATGTTTCCATGCCTCGGTCTGGCTTTGGAAAATTTCTCTTCCCGTTGGATACAAGAAACTTAGCAAATTCCTCTTCGTAACTTGAGTAAATCATCCTTCCTGCGTGAAATATGGTGCGGCCCTCGCTTGGAAGATACAGTACTAGAAAACTCCACGGCTTGAGTCGAAACATTTGGCGCAACTGAATGTCTAGGTATCTGAGGGGAAGGGACAGGTTTATTTGGAGTTCTTTCATTCCTCTTCCAACCAGCGATGCTATAATAACCTTTAAGAATTCACAAGAAATGTTCTTAATGAATAAGTTTCAATAAAATGCTTAGCATGTGTCACTAACCTGCGAGTAGTACCTCGTCATTAGCACTTCGGCGGTCGCGTTTCTTCATCCGTGGAAAGGAATAGAGCCTTGGGCAACGCGAGCCGCCAAGAGTTCTGCAAAGGGTCTAGAACTATTAGTGCCAGACCCTTCGCAGAACTCGCCTAGTTGTCTCAACTCAAATCTTCCCGCCGGCGGGAAAACGCACGTCCTTCAGCGCTTATACTGACAGTCTGCTCGCAAGCACATCCTATCAAATCTTTAGAGGCGAACGCTAAGCTCGATTCGCGATCATTTCCTTTTCAAGCCTTCCTCGGTTTTCCGCCTTTTACTGTTTAGCTTTCGTGTATCGAAGACCGCCAAATGGAAAATCTCACAATTAAGAAATTGTTTTAAAATTTTACTCCACTTTATTCAAACGCAATGTTCTGGTCCTTACCTCCTTATTAGGGCTTGCCCGTATGTTCCCGTGATGCTTTTCGAGCTGCACTGCACTGGCAATGGCTGTTGGGCTATGAGATGGTGAAACGACGCAATCATAGTAGACATTTCCATCCATAATGACCTCATCTTCTTCAACCGGAAGGCTCCTTCTGAACAAGCACACGTCTAAATCGTTTTTGAGCTCTAATTTTTGCCTTAATAACAGCAGTACTTCGCTGATGATCATTTCTTTTTTCACCATCAGAATTGTACTCTCTCCTTTCCCAAATACATGTCGGGGCCAAAGGTTAAACTTGACCGGAATGAAAGAGTCTGGGACAAAAAGCTCTCGATAGGGACTGGGTAGATACTGGAGCTCCTTCTTGGGCATGCGTTCCATGTTGATAACAACTGACCTAAGACACTGCACCGTCAGAGGTGCGGGCACTCTTTCCACCTTTGATGTAATGCTGAGCTCGTCGTCGTTCATTCTATGTTCCCTAAGGAAATATAATTAATGAGTTGATTCAAAGTTAGTTCTCTAAATCTGGGTATTCATCGGCCTCTCAGTCACAAGAAAACAAGCAACAAAGGGCACGTGTGGATGCATGCAGGATGGTTGTAGAAAGTGAGCCCCCTTCATTATCCAATATTTACGTCATGACCCCCTCCCCGTCATATGCCTAGTAATACTGTAGGTCCAGTATTACTAGTAATACTGTAGGCTCAGTATTACCAGTAATACTGTAGGCTCAGTATCACTAGCCTACAGTATTCCCAAAGAATACTGTAGGCTCTGCAAAACATTTTTGAAAAAGCGTGCTTTAGCCTCCTTGTAAGACCTCTCCTTCTTTAATAAGACCGCTTTTGCATTCATTTATTATACATGCGCAAAATGTATAGATTACACAGTAACTCAGTAGTTTTGTAATACTAGTAATTTTTCTTGATTATTGTATATGTATATAAATTTTTATGGATAGTACTTTTGTTGGGTGTTCACAGATGAAGAGCCACATCTTTTTTATGTGGATATTCTGTGAATAAATCATGAAATAAATTTAAAAAGAAAAGTAATTATCGAAATTTAAGTCACATACAACCATAAGATGTTTATTTTGCATAACACCCACCGTGGGCAATGGACCACTTTTAATATTTACCTCAAACTTCTGACCCCTTTTAACTTCTTTATAAATAGTTTAACCCCCCCTCCCTCGCTGATCTGAAATAGCCTTGACCCCCCTTCTTTTTCCTCTTCTCCCCCCCATCGCCTCTCTACATAAATAATAACCGGTCCCTAACATAAGTTGAGGAGCTAATAAAAATTAGCTCATACATTCACGCGTATTGGAGCACTCCGAACGCGTCCCTAAACACATAAATGGGTTCACTGTCTACTTTTACGCATCATTATCCAAAAGCGATACATTTTCTAGGCTTACAAAATTACTGTTGATTTCCTTACCAAAACAGAACCATTACAAGACACCCTAATCATCCTTTATATTGCCTCATATACTGTGACACCTCTCGCGTTTCTCTGTTTCGCGCGTTATGACGCTGTCATGATAAGCGGTAAGAAAGAAAAAAATTAGGTAGAGAACGCTAATTTAATCAGAAGAGGCAACTAGTTTTCAAGCAATGAGTATTTCAGATTTGAAACGAAACAAAATAAATTCATATGAATATAAAAAATGAAATTAATGACTTTGAACGGTTACGGTCACGCATCGATAGTCTGAGGTCACTGATCGCTAAATCCCGTCCATAGTAAATATCAGCTTTATAAGAAATCTTTGTACCAAATAAAATTTTCTGTCACTACGTCTCAGAAACGCAATGCACTGCTGTACACTTAGTGTATAAATGGATCGTCAAATCAAAAGATTCGCTTGAAAATAAAAACACAAATTAACACCTTACCTTAAAATCCGCTCGGCGTCGCTTGAATAAAGAAAGTTCAGACAGAATCGTTGAACACTTTCTGGGGAAGTCCCTGCTCGCAAAAACATGACGTAAACTGAGTTATTTTCGGTCGATACCACAACTGTGTCCCAGTCATATTGAAAGACGACTCGTTCGCCACTGAAACGGCCGAAGATCGGCGATGCAATCACTTTTAGTTCGTGATATTTCACGTTAAACTGACTGAATTGATTTTTGTAAGTCAGTGATACGACATCGGCAGGGTCTTCAATGTATTTATATTTTGGCTGGAGATTCTTCGAAAGGAATCCGTTCGCAGTCGTCCCTGTAATTCTTGTTATTTCGCTGTCCGGCATTTGTGCTTTTATCTGTAAGACTAACAGATGTTCGTCGCTTGGTGCCCGCCAAGGTGAGCTTTTGTTTCTTCCCTCGCTCTATGAATTATTCAGAAATCTACGTAATCCATGGTAACAATCAAGGCGTGAAATAATCTTGTTTTGACTTAAGGTTGGGAATTACAATATACCCACGGCTCTTAAAATTTTTTGGATGAAATATTTGCCCAAGGATAGAAACAGAAATCGCAGCTTCCACTTCTTCAAGAAAACAATCACTCTTTCAGTTGCCTCCGGCTAAAGAAAGCATATCGCGATTCACGTGACTCCCGAGTCAAAGATCGCAGGCGGAAAGCAAGTTTCCCACGAACTCGCGCGCTTGATTCCCACTTGGCAGATGGAACACAGATATTCATGACTGACAAATTCAAGGGAAAAAATAAAATATCAAGAGGGAGCTTTACCAATCAATTAACCACAAAATTCGACAAAATTTGGAAATGTAAATTAGCCACCGTAGAGACTATCTAGAGCTAACATTTGCCCTGATGAAGGGCTGACGCTCACAACGTTTGATTTGAAAACTCTTTACGATGGCTAATTCGCATAATCAACCCAGTTGATTAAACCAAATTATCCTGTAACACCTCTACTGACGCAGTACCATAGTTTCTTTAGAAACTTACCCCCTTAAATCAAACAAATTGAGTTCAAAACTGTACAAGTTTATTTGATTTGAACATGTTCTAAGTACACGAAAACATGTTGGGAAAGATTGGAGATTTATCATTTATAACTCATGCTGCTTTTCAATGTACTTTGATTAATAAAGGTACACAATCGTTTGTTTTTTAAAAATGCGATGAAATGCCCGAAAGCAAGCCTCAGATCTATATTCAGAGAGCGCGCTCAAACACCGTGGCAAGAATTTTCAATTCTTAAAAGAAAATCTCTGTGACCCGCGTTAACACTGACTCAATTGAGACATCTAGAGAGAGCAATGTACAAAAGTTATCTTTGATACAAAATCGGTCAAAAAGTGGTAAATCGAAATAAATCTGAAGAAAGTACATTCATAATGTTAAGTGCGCATGCCATCAATAAATACAAATAGAACCCAATTGTTCTTCTGAAGTTTCCTTGGGGAAGGTTCCGTCAGTCTCCTAACCCTTTACACCCTGCCATCAGTATGCATATTCTCCATACTGTTCTCTAAAAATTTCCTGAGGTACTGACAAGGAGAATTTGTTTTACGATCAAAAGCTTCTTAAGTGATCATTTCCATCATTCTCATAACCTTAGTGATGATATTCGAGGGAGAAATTAGATGCTAGTCACTGTTTGGTGTGAAAGGGTTAAACAAGACAGAAACAAGCCCCAACGAAACTTTCGTACGGAATAAGGGGGAGAAAATCTGATATTTGTTTACAACTAGTCACCCTAAGTAACTATTAAGTTTAAAATTCATTGAACTCAATTTATCTCTCAAAAGTCGCAATTTCACATAACTTATTTCTTTAGGCTCATGGCGGATTTAGACTCCGAGGAATTTTCTCAAATGCTCCTCATGCAATGTTTTGCCCATGTGTAAATCTTATATGCTTCCAGACCTCATTTTGAAGTTAAAAAGTCCGCGCACCTTGCAATTCTTGAAAGTCATTAATTTAACCATGAAAAATAACCGATAGTAAAAAATGAGCTGAAAACTGAAAAAGGTATCTCGCGAAAATTATGCTGTATTCTGTGATACATGACATTCAATTTAAATACAATTTTTTTTCCTTGACTATTACCTCGTCGGTTACAACGAGCAGTGGTTATTTCCCCCCACGAATGAGGCCAACCGGAAGAGAAGGCAGGCCTCTTTGGAGTACTGTCGCCTCAAGGCTGTATTACCGAAAATTAACTTGGCACTAACTTGTGAGTTCAGCCATTTTTTCATTAGCAACATGTTAAACTGCGTCGCAGTTCATTGCTGACAAACGTTACCATTGATCATAACAAGGGGTCTACAGGGAATAAGATCAGACAAAGCTGCCATTTAGAGCGCTTTTCAACTGAGTCTAGAGATAAAAAAAAGACAAAACCATCATATGCCATTACAGCCCATCAGGGGAGATGCTAACGTCTAAAGAAGCCCATACGGATTCGAAGTAAATTCAAATGATTGACCTCCAGCGCGGGAAAACGATTGGGTTTAAGATTTGAAATGAGCAGAGCGACGTAAGTCACATGGAAATAGCCGATGCAATTTTGCACTATTTGCAACATCAGTTGAAATTTGTTCCACTGTTTCAGTTGAAGCACATACTACCTTTTGAGATGTATGCTACTTCACCACATCGTATTAAGTTTTACAAACAATTATGTAGGTAGTATGGTAACGGAAGCCTCCCCTGTTCCTTCCTCTAACCGGATGTAAGTCGGCGTGGTCGCTGACACGCTCCCGGCACTAAGGCTGCTGCGTCCACTGATATCACTACTCAGCGGTGTGCCGGGTAAGGATACGTCGACGTGTACTTGGAGGTCCTGTGCGTCTTCAAACTGTTCTGCTTCCTTTGTCATTACAGGGCTTACGACTGAAGAGGAACATAAACAGGTTCGCTCAGTCATACGCTCTTAATTAAATGTATTAAGTCCGGTTCGTGTAAACTGATATATCAGACCAATCAGTTTACACGAATCGGACTTAGTACACTTCACTGACAAAAACTCTTCACCTGATTCTAATTAGGACTCCCGCTCAGGTTTTCGAGACCTCAGTCACCACTATTAAAAGTCCTTGTCAGGACTACCCCGTCTGGACTACCAGACTACACGATCACATTACCACCGGGTGGGTTCAAACATTTTACTGTACTGTAATCACCTTGTTCCTCCTCGTGCACCGAAGAAGCTTCTTCAATTTCTGCACCATTAATCGGCGCGACCTCGTCTTTTGACTCTAATGTAGCCTCCTGTCGTTGAATTCGCTCAACTCTTACAGGTTCCCCTACTTGTTCAATTCTGCCTCTGCTCGCAGGGGCTGTGCTGGGACGCGACATCCCTGAACACGCTGAAAGAGATCTCTCAACATACCGCTGACCGCGAGCACTCTCGACTCTCCTTCTGCCCGAGGATCGAATGCTTGACGCTGATCTTCGACGCATACGTGCAACAGCTTCTGTAATGATGAAATACACAGAAAAATAGTGATGGTTGAAGTACGAGGAAGAAAGTTGAAACCGCTGTTTGAACAGGTTCGCTTGGGTTTCCTGTCGATCCCTCTATTTACCCATGACCATTAATTCAAGCCATATCTTCTTACAATGTGAGTTGGTTTGAACTCAAAGAAACCGGCCAATTAGAATAAACGTGGACAAATCAGCAAACCAATGAGGATTCAAGGAAAGCGGCACAGCGGGGCGTTATAAAAAAGAGCGACCGTGGCTTCATGGATAAGTCAGATATATATTTTTTTTCTTTCAACAAATCTCAGCAATAGAACAAAATTAAGGCAATTTCAAGTTACATGTTTTAAAAGCAGTACTGTAATCCAGAGACTTGTGATTTTGTTTTACTCCGCGCTGAGATTAACTTCACAAATTCGCGCCGTGAACCCATAGTCCCTCGCCGTGAACCCATAGTCCCATAGTACCATAGTCCCATAGTCCCCATAGTCCCTCGGGCGACGCCTACATATGAAATTACATAATTTTTCATCTCTTGCAATTTTTGATTTAAAATAATTTTAAAATATCAAACCAGTACCTTCTGGTATATTGTCTGGTTTAATTGTTCCATTTAGTGCTTCTACAAGAGGAATCTCTTCATATCCAGGCCAGGCGCTCTCTCCATGAGTTTCCTGATTTGAGAGATGCAAAACATGGAACTACAATCAATATATCACTTCCTGTAACAAAATTAACCCTTAAACTCCCTTGATTGACCAAGACAGAATTTCTCCTTACTATATCTGTATAATATCATGCAGACAAGTAATGAGAATAAAGAAAAACATCAATTATGGGATTACTAATTGATCCGATACCAAATTCTCCACACTAACATAGTGAGAATCACTTGGCAGACAGTAAGGAGAAATACTAATGAGATCTTGAGAGTTAAAGGGTTTACACTTAAATTAGTAAGCATGTCATGAGCTTGACCGACTCTATCCCATGGGTTTGCCACTTCTCATATTTTATGGGGGGGGGATGTGGTTTGGAGGATTTTTTTTTTGGGGGGGGGGGGGGGGGTCACCTGGTTTTCAGGGGAAATGGAGGAGAGAGGGAAGAGTCTACAGCAACAGAGTATAAAAGGAGGACTATTGAAAACTGAATAAATAACACCTGGTTACTAATATTCTCAAATTTTCGAAGGATTTGAGTCATGAGCCGAGGACTGAGCAACATGATAGGTGATTCCTACATACATAATGGGGGGTAAATGCATAGAAAATGAATTGATGTTTCCTTTGCCTGCACCATTTCCCCTCTGAATGAAGGCAGCACAAAATATCCCAAGGGAATGGCTGATGGTGGGGAGGGAAGGCCTTCATGGGCATGTGACCCTTTTTCCTCCACCCACCCATCCCTTCTCCCACAACAGCTTGGTTAAGGGGAAACATTATTAGAAAATCCCATTGACATCTATCTTGCTTATCAATCAACAAAACTGTCCCTGAAGTTTGCCATTTTCAGAGTATCATACCTGAGAATTTGGGCCATTTTGCTTCTTGATATAGGCGCAGATCTGTAGCAAGGCATGAAATGCTGTGGGTAAAAGAGTAACATATGATTACAACACAGGGCTACTGGAAAATAATCAAGAATTCAGCAATCCCTTGGGAATTGTATTGAAACAGACCTTGTCTGACAGTGCAAAGAATTTAGATTTTGAGTTTGGGAGTATTGGGTTAATACTTATAATATCCAAGATTTCAACCTGATATCACTTTCCTTTCTAAAAAGCAACTACATGAAATCATAAAGCTTTTTAATTCTTATCATGCAGTTAATACATGTTTGCTACTTAAATAGCACTATGTGGTTGTTCTACTGTATTGTCTACAAACACTGAAGAGCCACCTACGTGATCTGCAAATTGGGCAGTTACTTGCTTGAAATCTTAGTGATTCAGCTGAAAGTATTGCAAAAAAAAAAAGGTTAAAATGACTGAAGCAGCAGTTTACTTTTCTGCAAATAAATTGCAAAATTGAACAGCAGTATCCAAGGTACTCAAAGCCCTTTACACCTTGATATCAATGTGCATATTCTCCATAATGTTCTCCATAGATTTCTTGAAGTGCCGACAAAGAGAATTTCTCAAAAAATCAAGAACTTCTTTTGTATGTGATCATTTCCTTTATTCTTGTGACCTTAATGTTAGATTCACTCAA